GTTGTCGATAAGTGTGCGGTGTGCCCTTTGCTTTACGATAAATACACATGGTTCAACTTGTTTCTTTTATACTAGTTGCCAAATATTAGAGAAAATAACATTTCAAACTCATTTAAAAAAAAAAAAAAATCACAAAAGGAACCACATAACTTGAGTAAATCCATTGAAGAATCTCCAAAACCTAAATAAGAACACATAAATACATGTTATTGTTAGATTTTGTCACAATTGGTAATTGATGTGTATATTTTCTTTGCAACTCCAATTACACTTCCACCTTTTTGTTGTTTGTTGTTGTTGACACCTATATACATACATAAATACCTACTTTAGAATATTTTACACCTCTTATTTTCTTCAAAAGCAATTATGCAACTACTTAGTCTAGATTCCAAGTGTCGGCTACTATAAACAAAAATCTTAGTCTAAGGTAATGGAGAAATTCCATGGTTCAAAACCAATGTGAGAAACAATATATTATTGTGAAATAAAGGAGTTGCTGAAATAATTGGACTATACAGCTATAAAAGATACATATATATGTTGTAGTCATGATTCGAAACTACACAACAAATGCATTTTATTCTATATATATTGTATTAGAAATCACAAATAAAATTATAAACAACTTGGCTTATACAATCATCTTCACACATCTTTGTAAGAACATCGGTTAGAGATTCCGAACCCGGTTCGGGTTAAGCGCGGTGTAAGATACCGGAGTAGAAACTTGAGCCTCTTCGTCCTCCAATCGTTCTTGATCTGGTTTAATCCGGTGTGGATTCTTACCACAAGGGACCAAAAACATAGAATTGGATTTAGGACAAGTTTGTTTCTTCATGAAGAACTTAGCACATTCCGATGGCGTTTTCTGGTTAGGAAGATCAAGTATACAATTCATTCGAACGTCGAGAGTGTTACTCTTGATGAGTTTTCGACATTTCGGACCGACTTGAGTGAAGTAATTGTAGGAAAGAGAGAGGTTTTTGAGACAAGAAAGCTCGCATACGATCTCCGGTATGGTTCCATAGAACTTGTTTCTAGCTAAATTGAGTTGTTCAATTTTGTCTAAGCAACCAAAAGAGTAAGGTATTGGACCGGTTAACTGGTTAACCTCAACATCGAAAACCGTAGCTCGGTTTAGCTTTCCGATTTGGTACGGTAAGCATCCGGTTAACTGGTTGTTCAAGAAAAGGACTTCTTGTAGGTTCTTGATGTCGCCAATACTGTCGGGAATTCGACCCGTGAACCTAAGTCACATCACAATAAAATTAAATATAACCAAAAGAAATTTAAACTATTTAATAATCACACCAATAACTGACAAGAAAACCGTGACCAAAATAAAAATTAAAATTAAAAAAAATTGACAAGAATCTGAAACCTAACCTGTTATTGGCGAATGTGAGGTAAAGAGCAGTGATGGATCCAAGATTGAGAGGAAGATTCTGAACAAGATTGTTGTTGTTGATGAACAATGCATCAAGATCAAGATTAAAGACCTGAGAAGGAACATAACCTGAGAAACTATTGAACCTTAGATCAAGAAACGTGAGATTTGTAGCTTTTAAGACAGAAGTTGGGAACTCTCCGTTGAGTTTGTTGTTGCTTAGATCAAGCTCGTATAAGTATTGCAAGTGGCTGAGTTTAGGAACAGAACCAATGAAATTGTTGGAGTTTGCGTGGAAGATTGTGACTTCGTCTAACTTGTCTAAGAAGTTATCTAACCGGAGTTTCTTGCCTGTGAAGTTAAACCCGTTAAACTGGATGCTCGCGAGGGCGAGGGCGGGAGGCTTTGTTCCCGGGAGAATCGCGCATTCGAGTCCGCGGTATTTGTTGCAAATGTCACTGCCTTTCCAAGAATCAAGAATTCCCATTGGATCGATTTCGACTAGGTCCTTGAATCTTTGGAGGATTGGATATACTTTCTTTAGAAGTAAGCTTGCAAAGACTAGCGGCGGATTAGGCGGCGGTTTAGGTGGAGATTTCCGCGGTATTGGCGGCGGATTAGGTGACGGTTTAGGTGGAGATTGCGGCGGCATAGGCGGCAATTGTGGCGGTTCTGGAGAAGGTA